TCCATTCGCTGTTTGGAAAACTCAGTTTCCCCAAGTTCATGAGCGGCTGGTCGGATGGCTCATGGCTTTCCGTAACACACCAGCACATACCCAAAGTTCACCCAGACCACATTCACCCACGCATACCATACCGTACAACTCCCTTATGCGAGTATTTTCTTTTCCATCTTATTATATTAATTTGTCTAATGGTCTGCACGACTGGAATTAATCTTGTTTGCATTTTCCCTTTTAAAAAAAATTTTTTTTATCGGTTTTGAATTGTAACTCTGAGAACGGGATTATCGAAACTGCTGAGGTGAATGCAGATTTAGACTGGAGTCTATCTGTCACCGCAGTACTAGCGATTATTGTATAGTTTGTTTGTTTTTTTAATGATGGATGATGAACCACATTCATGTGAATTAATCCTTTGTTTTTGTTTTTTATTATTGTTGTTGTTGTTGTTTTCTCTGTTGTGAAAAATACATGTGAAAACTGAACTAAAAACTTCTTTCCCCTGTGCATTTATTTCCTGCTTTGTATTATATTATCTGCTGATGTGATATTGTATGTAATGGGTGGCTTTTAGAGGCCATCTGGGTTTAACTACTTTTTGGCATGCTTATTCCTGTCTGGCGGCCGAACATTTTGAGTTGGTAAAATTATTTTTCACTAAAACTGTTCACCTGGGTGCCGCCACCATTACAAGCCGATAGCAGGAAAGCTCAGACAAATAAAAAAAGTATTGGTGGGGGTTTTATTTGATATTGAAAAAGCCTTTGATATGCTTTGGAAAGAGGGACTTTTAATAAAACTTAAATGTATGGGAATTGGAAGAAAGTTATATAACTGGATTATGGATTTCCTTCTTGAAAGAACAATACAGGTTAGGGTAGGAGTAGAGTATTCTGAGACATACACTATGGATAATGGAACTCCTCAAGGAAGTGTATGCAGCCCAATATTTTTTAATATTATGATTAATTATATTTTTAGTCATTTTAAAGGTGATATTGGAAGGGCATTATTTGCTGATGATGGGGCAATATGGAAAAGAGGACGTAATATTGCATGTGTGTCTCAAAGATTACAAAAAGCAGTAGATAAAGTGGAGGTATGGGCAAATAATTGGAGTTTCAGATTATCTGTGGCTAAAACTCACGTTATATGTTTCACAAAAGGGAAAAATGTATCAAAGGTTAAGTTGAAGTTGTACAAACAGGAGCTGGAGCAAGTCTCAGT